CATCCTGGCCACACTGAGAAAATGTGGGAAACTTTGTAGAGGTGGGACTTCTTCACTGTGGCATCTGAGGCTGGGATGGATGGACATTTTCAAATATTGATGTCTGGGCTGCAGATACGGTGCAGTGGAAGTGTAACTGTCTAGCACTGTCCAGAATAAATCAATGTTCATTCCTTTCCCAGTAACTGGGTAGGTAAGGAGATCTACGGCAATGTAGATCTAATTCAATCCAGTTCATTTCTGAAACATTTATTTACTTGTGGCCAGTTAGACTGTGGCAAGATCTTTAGTAAGAAAAGTACTTGCCAGCTAGAGAGGAAGTAGATGGCAAAATCTCTTTCTCTCCCTCTCTGTCCCCATACCTTTTCCCCTGTGGTAGCTGCAGGGCTCAATTATGGAGAACGTTGTCTGAAACTTCATTTTGACCTTTGAGAAGACTGGGTCTTATACTTTGGTGATCTGGGTGTTCTAGAACTCTATCAATTATGTAGTACCTTTGTCCAAAAGATCTCAGTTGTTGGTAACCAGTATCTGCAAAAACATAATCAGTTCTGACTAAGTGTCCTCTTATATTGTCATCCACAGTGACAATCCTCCACAGGACCTGCCACTGCCACCTACGTTACTTCAAACAAATCTGAGGCCTTATCTCATTTCACCTATAGTTTTTTAAAGCTTGTGGGCATGATGTGTAGGTGTGTGTGTGTGTGTGTGTGTGTGTGTGTGTGTGTGTGTGTCTGTGTAGCAAGCGGTCCGAGGACAACCTTGGGTACCTGTGGTCCTTGCCTTTGACCTTGTTTGAAGCAAGGTCTCTTTGTTGTTTCTTTTAGTGAGTGCCAGTTTCCATGGATTTTCCTCTCTCAGGCTCCGACCGATCTCAGCGGAAAGGTGCTGGGATTATGAGTGGGTGCCACCATGTGTGATTTATGTGGGTCCTGGGCATCAGAGCTCAGGTCTTGGTGTTTGCACAATAAGTGATTATTATTTTTCTGACGATTGGTCAGTAGTACCCAGTGCTTCCTTTCTCCCTTCCCTCCATTTAATAAACAGTCCTCAGGATCTCCTGGGAAGGGCCCTCCCTACCTGATTCCACCCACAGGAGCCTGGGGCCACCTCCACCTCTCTACTCCACATCCAGACTCTCCAAGTCCTCCAGGGTCTGGGCCAGTGAGAACCCCTGACCTCTTCCTCCACACCTTTCCTACAATCTACCAGGTTTAGCCTGGGTCCCACAGCCAGCACACCAGCCTCATCTAGCCTTCCCTCCTTCCCTGCAGGGGAGCTCTAGGCTTGGGCCAGTATCCCAGCTTCCTACCCACCATACCAGAAGACTCTCCCACATCATATCCAACCTTTCCACTCAAACCTACCAACCCTACTCTCCCAGCTTGGAGCAAGAAGCATATCCTATATACCAGCCCAGTTCCCTCTGTCCACTCACTTCATCCCATCCAGGCCCTTTTCATCCTCTAGACCCAACTCACTCCCACATCTTATCTTCTCCCCTATGCCGCTCCATCTATAACAAACTCAGAATTCTACTTTTTAAACACTGAAGTTTACTTAAAACAAAAAACAGCAGTGGCATTTCTTTATAAACTGTATTCTTCATTTATCTCTCACTTTTTAATTTTTGTAGATGGAATCTTCTTTTCTTCCATATCTAAGTGACCTTCTTGTCTACCTGGGGAAGCGACTGATGTTTTTGTCTGAAGACTATATAAATTCTCCTTAATTAAGTTCTTGTTCGGTTTGCAGTGGCTCTCCTCCATGTTATGTGGCCTTTCCCAAAGTCATCCACCTGCTAGCAGAGACCATTTCTCTCTCTTTTCCTTTAGTATCATTTGAATGCACTTCTCCTGTACTTAATCAGGGTTGCATTTCCCTGCTTACAAATGAGAATGCTTAATGGTCATCAAAGATCAAAAGCACAAGAAGAGATATAAACAGATCCGTAAGTCCTATTTCCCTCTACCTAAGTTTTCTTTGACCTGATCTGCAACATCTATGAAGAAAACCACCCCACGACTCACAGTTAGCTTAATGTGAGGAAAAAAGGGAAGTCCTGGTGGCTGATCATCCTCCGGCAGCTCCTGTTTGCAGGAGAATCTGGAGGCTCCTGTGCTGTCATTAGGACTCACTGTTCCTTCCTTTTGGCTCTGATCATCTCTGCACATCGGCCTCTTATCTCAAATGGCTTCCAGCCCTGTGACTGGGCACCTGCTGGTAACTGCTTCAGTTTGTATATAGTATAATATATAATTTATAATTAGCTGTAATGTCTGGAACAAGATGTGAGAACTACTCCAGGAAGTTACAATGATAAAAATGAATTGGTCCAACTTGTAGCCTACAAGCTTCCTTGAAGCCAATTGATGAGGCTTTTAAATAGAACAGCCCAGAATATAGGAGCCATGTACTTAGATAATGGGTAGCTCCAAAAGGTCTTAGGTCACAATAGATGTTCTTTTCCCCATAGTAAGGATTTTGCTCCAACAGTACATGTCTAGAAAGGCTCACCCTGCTCTTCCTTCTCACATCAATTCATTAAATTGGACACATGTGTATTAAATACCCACTGACCCCTAGTCTAGGAATGTCCTCACTGTTCTGACCTTTAGGCTATGACTGCCACGAAGCTTAAAAAAAAAAAACAAAAAACAAAAAACAAGGGTTGCTCTTTTCCTCAAAAAGCTCTATTCACAAAACAGAGAATCAATAAATGCTGTGGGAGCTGACTGTCTCCCATGGGGCCAGAGTACCGGGAATGCTCAAAGCCAGCAAGTCTGGGTTACATATCACAGAAGAGACAGGTTGTACTGAAGTGCCTCCTTCAGCAAAGTGCTGGTGGGCATCCGTGATTGTTATTCAAAGAGAAAGGCAGTTGGCATCCTTGAGAAATGTGATGCGGTGGGCCAGTAAACCATGCCCAGGCCACCTGTGTTCTGGGCGGTGTGGGTGTTGTGCAAAGACAAATGGGTGTGGAAGAAGGAGAACGTAGTATTTCTGGTGGTCACAGAGTTCCCACAGAGCAGCTGGCAGCAGCCCATCTTGTGCGGGCTCAAGTTTATTAGGTGGGTGGTCCAAATGGAGGAGGACTTGGTGAGGCGTACAGATAAGATAAGCAAGGGGGTTCCCAAGTGAGTTGAACGGTACAGTGGTCTGGGGGAGTCCAGGAACAAAAAGAAACAAGGCTGGAGTAGGAGGCTCGCACATGCTAGGCAAACCAGGGAAAGCATGAAAGCATTTGACAGTGTTACCAGGGGATTAACCTTCTGCTGTAAAAGAATTCAAAGTGTGAAATTTATGTTCTAAACAGCAGGCTGAGTTCTCTCTCCCACATGCCACTGAGGGCTGAGTAGCTGTAGAAATGGCCCAGGACCCTCCCTGCTCCTGTGAGGCTAGTCCGCTCTCACCCAGCCTCCTGCCAGACTGCAGCTCTTCTCATTGACAACACAACCAAACTTTGCAGAAGCGTGTTGGCAAGCCAAGTCAGACCTTGACTGATTGGGGGGTAGGACCTCTCATTCCACCTTAGGGATCAAAAAAAGTACAGGGCTCTGGAGGTAGCTGGCGTTTTCAGGTAGAGGGGCTGAGTGCTGGGCCCAGAAGCTTCAGTTACCTAGAAAATATGCTAGTATTGGGACTCAAAGAGTTGCTTCAGCAACGAAGCAATCTAGGAGGCAGCTCTTTGCTTCTTGCTTATTGACACACATCGGAGCCAAGCCTTGCCTCAAGGGCTTAAGTGGATGCTTACTGTCCAAGGCTCTGGCTTATCCAGTGAGGCTCAAGGGTTCCAAAAGCCTTTTATGAGTCTTTCAAGAATAAACAGGGTTTTAAATGTATATTTTCAAAGGTCAAGCCTTTGACCCACATCTGAGAATTCAAAGAATTCCTCACTCAATTCTCTTCGCTCCTCAACTTCATACAAATCCTGTATTTCAGTGTGTGAAACTTGCATAAGTCATGTTTTCTTCTCTGTGCTTTTGCTGGAGTTAATGGAAAGATTGACCTGTGTGTGTAAACATGGGCAACGCAGCTTCTTCCTCTTCAGCATTTCCGGTCTAACACCGCTCATTTGGAGAGACCTCCTACAAACAGGCTGACCAACCCCACCACTCCTCCACTTAGTGCAGCACACAATAAACACACTGGGGTTCTGGAGTGTTGTGGTAGTTGGGGTGGTTCCATTCCAGTGCTCACAGCCCACGCTGACACCACATTTTCTGTCAACGTGACTGTCCTTTCTTCATTCTCTCTCTGCCTCAAGTCAGGTCAAGCAGCAAGCTGCAAAGGTCATGGCAATCTTCTTTCGAAGGATTTGACATTGTTCACTTGGCTAATGTACAGTACCTGTCATACATTTCTGCCCTGCTTGGGACACACAGTGAGTGAGATCCGGTTTCCATCCTTAAGGAGCCTTTAATCTACTAAAAGCATGGAAAGCAGGCAGACCCACAGAGAAGCACACACCCACATTGTCAGCACAGTCTTGGGAAAAGGTAGGTAGAGTCCACTGTTCTGGGATATCCTGTATCTGGGTCACCATTTTCCAAGTGACCTTGGAGAAACCCAGTTCTTTTTCTTGATTGAGGTTCTCAAGAATTATACAGAATATACTAGAGATGTAACGTTTGCAGAGGAGGAGGGACTGGTCAGAAGGAGCTGTAAGCGCTTTGCTTCTCCCTAGAAATGGTGTGTCCTTTAGTGCGTTAGTTCAGCGGGTTATGTTTTGCTTGGGGGACATACTGGATTTAGGGTACTGTTTTTCATGGTCTCTCAGTTCTGGTGCTAGTGGAGTATGCATGGATGAGACTGCCTTCACCTGAAACAGCTTTCCTGAGCCTCAGGATCCTCGGCTTTTGTTGTCCCTGGCTGCTGCTTATAGATAATAAACACACTGGTGCAATGTGGTCAGAAATAGGGAAAGCGCCACATGAGATGTGGCAGGCCAAAGGAGTCAGTGCACAGTACTCTTGATTGACAAAGGCTTTGATTACGAATTTGAAAATGTGTTCTTCAAAATGGTCAACTTTTAAAGGAACAGCAGCTCATTAGGGGACATCCTGACATAGCAAAGGACATTGCCAGGAGCAGTGGGGAGCTCTTGATCTCCCTAGGATAGCTAACCTGCTCCCCGCTGCAGCTAGCTAAGCCATCATTCATACCTACCCAGACAGAGGAGTTGGGTGGTTTGCTTGGCTGTGCGTGCTCGCTCATCAACTGGCACACATGGAAATCCTGAGGCTGAATTTACTGTCAGCCCTTTGAGTCACAAAAAAATCCCCCAGCTCCTCCCTCCCCCAGTTGGAATCTGGGTCCTATTCAAAGATGTTTCCCCCCTTGCTTTGACTTACCTTGTGAATTCATCTGGAAGAATGTACCAAGATCCTTTGAATCCTCCAGGAATGTTGAACTCAGTGAAAAGTGATGAGGTTAAGAAAGCAAATAATATGCTCAGAGATGTTCCCTGGATGTGGCTAGA